AGCTTCATCGAATCAATGACCACGTTTCCATGGGCATCACTGATCCGGATCAGTAAAAGTGGATTAGCTAATCCAGTATAGTTAGACAATATATGAAAATGAAAATAAGGGATTTACTGATTATATAAGCCTAATCCACTTGGAATTATGTCATGTAACGAAGAATTCGAGAACTATAATACGATTTAAATTTGCTGATCCGGATCAGTGATGCCCATGGAAACGGGGTCAGTACCTTTTTATGAAAAAATATCCGTCTTGAAATTTGGTCTTTTTTGGCTTGACCTTGACTGCACTTTCACCTGAACGAAACCTAAACTGGCCCAAATGGTCGCCCGACCCATATCATTAAAATTGACATGTAAAATTGACCATAAAACATGTTTAACACGACCCTAGTATAGTTTGGTTCATATTGTGACCCTTAAAGGGACCCTCCCAGTCCCACCTTAACATTAGATTTGAGTTGAGATAGCCAAAATGGGGTCCCTGGCTCACAATTACCGGTTTCGGCACTCACAACATCGAGAAATGCCTTAACGGAAATATTGAATTTTAGCACGCGGTGGTATATGCTGCATTGCGCGCAACAAGTGCCGCACTTTCAGCTGCCAAACTATTGCTTCCAAATAAAGTCGCTAGGAACAGCGGAGATCCCAAAAAGTAAACAAAAGTAAAAGTCTAATATCTTGAAAACCGGTGAATATTTTTCGGTGAAATTTGGTAGATATTCGTTTTCGCTCTTTCTGAACCGAGCGACATCACTTTCATGCCAATTCATAAACTTTTTGAAGGTGGGAGGGTCCCTTTAATGACTTAACCGCTGTGACCTGACCTGGTATTAGTGAACTCATTTAGCAAAGTATGTATTTGAGAAACAATATTTTATCGATGATTTTCGATAACATGCCTTTTACTCGACGCTATAACACATTTCTTTGAAGGCCTGTACATGGTCAAAAAATGCAATCTTTGACCTGACCTGTAACGTCATCGGTTGCACCTAGATTAAAGGGACTATCCCACCTTCTAAAATGTTGTTAAAACCAGTTAAATTGTGCCCGACTTTGTAGATTGGATGACCAGGAACACGGTTCTGGCATTTATTTTTCATTAAACATCTTAGGCTTCCCATATTCCAAACACAAACTTTCAAATACGTGACGTCACAGCCCAAAATTACCTCCTTCCCCAGGCCACATTACTGTCATAAAGCTGATTCTTTTTACTCTGTAGGCACCACAACAAAGTTCAGACCAAGTTTTAAGCGATTTTTCAACGAACAAACCCATTTAAATCAGAATGACTAAACGAGGTGACGTCACACTAACGGTCGCTCCATGTTGAAGATAGGGCCTTGTACAAGGCCCATTTTCAAATGAAGGGAACGAATTTCTTCAACACCAAGAGGCCGCGGGGGTTGCAACCTAGATAGATAGTGGTTTCTGAACCTCGCCGCAAACTTGGCTATCTCAACTCAAACCCCATGTTAAAGGGACCCTCCCACCTTAACATTAGTTTTGAGTTGAGATAGCCAAGTTTGCGGCCAGGCTCAGAAACCACCATTTATCCTGGTCGCAACCCCCGCAGCTTTATGGTGTTCAAGAAATTTCTTCCCTTTACTTGCAGGGTGGGACCAGCGTGGTCCCTATCTCTTAACCATTACGGGAATCTGATGACGTCATCAGGCTTTCGAACGTCCGTTAAATGTTTGACTAAAACGTTTTGTAGCACGCGGTGGTATATGCTGCTTTGCGCGCAACAAATGCCGCACTTTCAAATAAAGTCGCTAGGAACAGCGGAGATCCCAAAAAGTAAACAAAAGTAAAAGTCTAATATCTTGAAAACCGGTGAATATTTTTCGATAAAATTTGGTAGATATTCGTTTTTGCTCTTTCTGAACCGAGCGACATCACTTTCATGCCAATTCATTAACTTTTTTGAAGGTGGGAGGGTCCCTTTAAAGGTGGGATAGTCCCTTTAATGAAACTGCAATGGTAATTACCCGATAGGGCTATTCGAATGCCGTTTGAATTTTGAAAATCGGTCGGTAGCGTTTCGAGATCTTCGGGGGAGCAAAACGCATCCCATCCCCCCCCCCCCCCCCCTCAGCTCCCCTCCCCCCCCCCCCCAACGGGTAACAGGGTCCAGGAATAGCCCTACGGGCGCGGATTACCTAAAGGCCGCCCCACACTGGAACTCGCATGCGGGTTGCGAGTTTTTGGGTTTTCGGGTTTATTCAAAATCAAATGATACAATCTGACCCATACTACCATCTAACAAGCGAGTCTGCATGTTTTTAGCTAGCGAGCGACCTTGCATCGCATTCGAAAAGTTGATTTTGAGTCAACTTTCGATTTTCCTCGCTGCGAGGTCTGCGAGGTTTGCGGGTTTTTCGTTGGAGTCGAATTTTGGTTCGTTGCGCTGGTATTGCGACTATATGTAATTTTCTGAAGGTGTACCGGCTTCATTGCATTCATAAAGTTACCATAAGGGAACGGTCTTATCACTCTATGAATTAGTATTATGCCCGCAAACTCAAAACCCGCAAACTCGCAACCCGCATGCGAGGTCCAGTGTAGGGCGGCCTTTAGTTGTTAGTCTAAAGTCGTTATGAAATCGTAAGTCGTAATTCGTTAAATCGTTGTCTAATGTCTACACCTTTTTAGGCGCAATTTCAAAAATTTAAAGACCAAATTCAAAAAGTTTACATTCAAAATGCACGTGAACGTTTTGAATTTGGTCTTTAACTTTTTGAAATTGCGCCTAAAATGCTGTAGTTAACGTTTGATCCATCAATAATTGCCCAATCATTTTTGTCTTGATATCATGCTAGCAAACCAAAATGAAAACACTGGACGCAGACAGCGCATATTGACCTAACTTGGGTTGAACGGGCATGTCAAATGCTTGGCGATACTAAATTGAATGGCTTTAGCGCAGAATCTTTCCGATTGTGGAAGAGTATAAGCAACATTTTTATCGGGCCTCATTTTGTAAACTTCGCATATCGGGTTTAGTTATTGACTCGCATCACGGGCAAGCATCATTCAGTCTCTGTGCAAAGGTTCATCTTCATCAAGCGAAATGGAGTCAGGGTCAGTTCTCAGTCCTGTGTGGATGAAATGTTGGGCGGACGAGAGAAAAGTTTAAATATTGATCACATATCACGGACGTATGGATTTTAGTACCTGCCAATTTGTCACGAGGATGAATAGTGATGAAATATCACGGTGTTATTGATAGCAGGACCAAAGGAATAGTGATGTCAATTACGGAAAATCGGAATACCGATACCAAACCAAATACCAACCAGAACCGTGGTGAAATACCGAAACCAAACCAACTTGGGAACATGAGGGAAATACCAACTTTTTACCAATTTCTTAGCCTCTTATACATTAGTGAGCGTTCATGAAACCAACAAAATACCAAACACACTAGGATTGAAATACCAAATACCAAGTTGGTATCGGTTTGGTATCGGTATACCAAATAGTTGGTATCCGATTGACATCTCTACAAAGGAAGTTATGATCGCCAGATAAGAGGAGGTTTGATATAGCTTTATAAGGAGCTTTGATACACATATGTATGTGTGGCCAAGATAATTTTTTTAGTTGGTGAGCACTAGGTATATCTCATTGACTATGACCGCGTTTCCATTGGCACTCGTGATCCGGATCAGCAAATTTAAATCGTAGGTATAATATTCCTCGAACTCTTCGTTACAGGGTATAATTCAGAGCGGATTAGGCTTATATAATCAGTTAATCCCTTATTCTATTTTCTAATTTTCATATATGTACTAACTATAATGGATTAGTTAATCCACTTTTGCTGATCCGGATCACAGGTGCCCATGGAAACCGGGCTATTGACTATAACTCATTGCTCGTTGCCCACCACATAGCACTGCCCTCAAACAGCTGACTCAGCCCATCGGTGTCACTAGCCTTTACCTGAATCTTTACCAGCTTCAGTTTGCAGGCAGGGGATCAGCGCACATGTCTGACATCGATTTGACGGAGCACTGCGGGCTGTTAACACCTCATCGAGCCCTCCGGAGTCACAGGGCAGGGCGAGCTGCGACCACCGCCGACCGCTGATGAAACCATTGCCGAGCCATCAAACCAGCGGGACTCGTCCCGGGTGCAGGTGTATTGCCATTTAACGCGGCCGTAAAACCGACAGAGCTGGGGACCTCGACGCGCTTCGCCAGGATTGGCCTTGCGGTGAGAGTGGCGCCTCTAGTGGCAGTGGGCCTGAACTAGTACTTGCTTATGTTAACACTACGTGAAATGTTCATTGATCGTTGCTTGCAGCCAGTGTGATTTTTGTACGGCTCTACTTAAATTATTTAAAAGCTGGATGTGTTCGTTGGACTGCAATGCGATGTACTCGTAAGTTTGCTGAATTGGGAGCCTACTCAACTTTGCTATCAATAGGTATGTGATTGTTTTAAATACAAATAGTAATGCCTTTGTGTGGGCCAAGTCGTTGGTGGGTGAGTGTAGGTCACTGTGACATTAACAACTTTGCTGCTTGCTGAAGAGGGTCAATTTGGACTAACCCCATTTATCCACAGGCGCCCGTGCGCAATTCGCGGACTTGCACGCTGGTCAAGAAAGCTATGGCAGACGGCGAACAGTTAGAACGGTGTTTCAGTTCGTTAACGATGAACCAAAGCTAGTTGGCTAGCTTTGGTCTGCAAATTAAACAGACATTTCGACTCGGACATGGTTTGATGCAACATGCTGAATTTGCACAAGACGTATAGCTACTGTTAAAAGTCTTCTTGAGCCGTGAGGTGTGAGCACTCGTCATTTGAAACGTTTGTATCTGGTGAAATTGAGACATATGGTCCCGGTTTCAAGGTATGACACTACAGCGATACGCGCACTGTAGCGTAGTGCCGTGAAACGGTTTGGTAACTCCAGCGTTTAGTGGAAGCGTTTCCCCCTCCCCAGCTCGCTGGCTCCAGCACCAACCAAACATGGTTTAGGGCTAGGCAATTGTTATTCATACATGTCGTACAAATTGCACAAGGAGTATTGCACATTTGAGACGTTCTATTATATTACAAACTTAACCTTTGAACCGGAAACAGTGATAATAATAACGCTAAGAAAGTAAGCAATAATGACGATTCTATCGCTTTCATCTCGCAGGAACTTTTTCTCTTCAAAATGAAGGAAATAAACAAAGGAATATAAATAATCTCTGAGCAAGGTAAATACATGTATCACAGCGAGGGTTGGGAATGTTGAAAGAAAACGCTGTTTACCCAAGCTTAAAAGCTATCCTACGGCTTATTATTTTAAAGCTTCCTTACTGTTTTGTCATTGTTTTAAATATGAACAGATCTCATTTGCCTGAAATATGTCGATTAACACATAGTGTAACGAACTCCAGCTAGTTACAACAACGTTTTCTGGTAAACTGAGATCACCTTATATGCTATCTGAAACGGCATTACCTACGATTGATTTGAACGTTCTATAAAATGAATACAGCGTGACTTCACCTACGTAAAGCGTGGCCTTTGATGGCTGATGATGAGTATAGTTCAGCAATATATATGGAATGGAGCATTATGGACAGGTCGTGCTGAGGAGAGGCGCGAGGCGTGACGTGACCAGTGGCGTGCTGCGTGGCTCAACAGAGCTGCTCTGGCACGGATACAACACACGCAGCGGCGCAACAGCACACAGAAACCAATCAGCGCGGCCGGCGCACGACCCCGACCAATCAGCCCAGTCGACATGCGACCCCGACCAATCAGTGCAGCCGACACACCGCGCCAGCCAATCAGCGCAGACGGCACACTTCTCGACCAATCAGCGTAGCCGTCACACAACCCTGACCAATCAGCGCAGCGGACACCTACTGTGACCTCAGAACATGGGCTTACGGCGCTCATTTGACCAGTAGATCCTGACAAGGGGCGCCTGGCGCCGGGAGCTGACCGTACACGACATGCGACATTCAACCAAGCATCGCACGCGACTTATAATGATTGTCCGCCAATCACAGTGTTTGGTATTCGCTCGCGGTCTAACGCGGTTAGCTACGTTAACACGGTCTGAACACGACATTGGCGGCTGGCTGGCCGCTGACACTCAACAGACACCGCCGCGCGGCCGCGAACCGTGGCTGGCAGAGACATGACACCGTGTGAGAGAGAGTGACACATAGTGTACCGCTGCGCCGGCCCGACCTGACCCGGCCTCTGCTGGTGACCCCAGGCCCGCTGCGGGGCGCTCACCAGCTCTCCAGCACCATTGGTTCCATTTCAGACAGCACCTGAAGGGAAAGAGCGATAGCAACTGATGAATGCAAATCTCACCATTATGACGCCAAACAAACGACTGAGAATGTGAGAATATAAAAAAGCGCAGCTCACTAAAGATAAACGGACCTCAGGAGTCGGGGCGATGGGTAGGTGTCACTTGAAGCGTTGTGTGACGTTGGCCAGAGCCACGGCAAAGGCCTGAACAGCCGAGAATGGGTACTGGAAGTCCAGCGTGTAAGCGTTGCCGTCGATGCGGCCAAACTGCATCACCTGTGGGAGACGGGTCACGGGGATGTGTCAGCCCAGAGAAGAGCAGGGGCGAACAAAGGTCGTTACTGGGATCATTTTATACATATAATCTTAATCGGTAGCAAAGCATCGATATTCTGACGAGACCATGAAGTGAATTATGAGTGCCAGTATGGTAAGTACTAAGCATATCAACTATTTTCAAAGCGACACATGGCAAAATCGATGCCTGCAATGCACGGTTGCCATAAGGAGCTAACCAAGCATGTGTTTGATTCAAACGATTGTTTTAAAAATAAAAAGAGCACTCGTAGGACAGAAAAGTGACAACCAAGGGATAAGTCAGCTCATTGAACCCGCCCCTGACCTGGTCGCCGCAGTACTGGATCTGGAAGTTTTTGGCCGACTCCTGGGTGACCCGGCCGCCAAAGTCGAGCTGGTACACCTGGCTGGACTCGTTCCAGAGCGGCGCGATGTTGTGCATGATGAGCTGGCGGCAGGGCGGCTGGCGGCGCTGTGTCGGCGGGGACGGAGCCGCCGCCCCCTCCGGCGCCTGGGACGAGTCCCGGATACCGCGGCGGAGCTGCCGGGTGGTGAATGAGGAGGGTTCGGTACATAAAATCATAGTGGAATGAGAATATGCACGTAAATCACGATGCCCATCACTTGCATGCACGACACCGTTTATTATTTGTGTCACGACTGTACCTCAATTAGGTACCCAAAAGTTAAAACACAGACTCATGACACGAAGTCTGTTTATGTAGATCTTACCTTGTTTCTGACCTGGCTCCTCTGGAGTGACTCGAGGCTGGTGAAAGGTTGTGACCTGGTAACCTCCGCCGACTCGTCTTCCGATGATTCAGTTGAGCTCGGCATCCGGCGACGGCAGAGTAGAGGGGAGCTTAGCAGCCGCCGGCTGATAAAGGGAGCACATTGAGTTAGGTGCGGAGACAGACAGACGGCAACAGAGCACACGGGAGCTCAACGGTCGCCAGCTCTCGTAGAGTTATACAGACAGAAAATAAGACAGGCACGGCGAACGAGCAAAGGCAGCAGCCGGCGACTGCCTTATTATATTTCATATTACCATTAAAGATGCACTCCTGAGACAATTTATTTGCCCCGGACTGATCACATCGCTCGTCCCCCGTCGCTGAGCCAGCCTACCTGATGGGCGGTGTGCCGGTGGCTTTCCTCTCCTTGCGCCGTGCCACGGGCGTCACTGGGCTGCTGTGGCACCCGCGCAGCTCCTCCGGAACTCTCAGCTTGGCGCGAACGGCCGCCTCAGCATGCAGCACGGCCGCGCGCCCGGCGCCGGCCGGGGCTCCGGTCGGCGGCGGCTGCTTCTTCTGTCTGACGGCGCCACTGTCAGTCAGCCAGTCACCCATCCGGCCGGACGGCGCCGCGCCCAGACTGTGGCTCTTGACACGCTTCAGCCGGCGGCTGGGCCGCGGGATGAGCACGACCCGCGAGCGCGGCGCGCTGGCCGTCTCTGCCACCATGTCGAGCGTCACGCCGTGGCCGCTGATGAAGTTGAGACTCTGGCTGCGGTTGGGCGGGATCCGCGGCGCCACCGGCCGCTCGTCCTCGCCATCATCGTCGATAAACTTGATCGCCTCCATCTGGGAGCCGCCGCCTTCTGCGGGGGTCGGCTCCGGGCGGGATGTCAGCGGCACGGCTCCGCCCAGCGCCGGCTCGCCCGCCGGTGCTGAGGACGTTCGCCGTCCAGCCAGGTCGCCCCCAGCGGCGGTGTCCCCCGTCCGACCGTGACTGACCACGTGACAGCGCGCTCGGTCGGCGCGGTTGACGCTCTGTGAGCGTGCTGCGCGCCGCGGACTGGCCAGCGCGTTCAGGCCGTTCAGGACGCGCACCTTGCTCGACACGGGGTCGGGCGGCGGCTCGGGCCGCATTTTGGCGTCCATCTCGTGTTTCATGCGCAGCAGCGACTCGCGGAGGTGGTCGAGCTCGGGCGCGGCCGCCGCCTCGTCGTCTGTGTCGGCGGCGATGACGGGCGCTCTGCCCCGGTCCCGGCTGGGGGGTGGCGGCGGCGGCGACTCGGCGGCCGCCGGCCGTGACAGGGAGAGCGACACGCCCGTCCGACAGGGCCGCGCGCCGACCTCCGAGCCGCCCACACTCGCCTGACTGGGACGGTGGCGGAAACGCTCTGTGGACAGCGGAGTAGTGAATATGTCAGCGAAGCGCTTCCTATGCCATCCGAATGTTATCCAACCTAAAAGGGTGTTAAATTAATTAACTGGAAAGCGTCTGAAGGAGAAATGAAATAAAAATAAAGCACAAATGCGAACTTCGGGCCTCAGCTGTCATCAACCGTCCTTAACAAGTTGACGAAATTATAAATTGGAATCGAACATTGGAACACCTCAGAATTGTGACTTTTCACATTGTCTTACCGTCTCTGTCGTCGTCCCGGCTGCCGCGCCGCGTGCCGGGCAGGCCGGCGGAGGAGCCGGCGGCACACCGGCGCCGGCTCAGCTCCGTCATCACCAGCGTCATCTGACGTGGCTGCAGGTGCAGCAGCGACGTCTTGTAGCTGATCTGGCCCAGGTCGGGCGCCACGTTTGGCACCACACCCAGCACGCGGAACTTGGTGCCCCAGATGTTAGAAGTGACCTGCGCTAGCGTGGCCGAGCCGGGCTGCCGATGGGGATGCAAGTTAAACGACATCCGGCTAGAGGAATTAAATTTACGTTCCTTTGTGGAAACAAGATAAAAAAGAACGTTAATCCGAGCCAAAAGCCTACTTAAATTCCACCAAGAATCACTTAAAACTTACGAAGCTTGAGATGCGTGCCAATTGTCAGCTGTATACCAATTACCGATCAGAGTAGTTACCGACTACCGCTATCGGTATGTGGTTGTTGACATGCACTATCATCGGTGTGCTGCCGTTATCCAAGCTTCTTCCAACGCTTATCATTTTAACCGGCGAAAATATCATTACATTGGTGGTAGTGGAACATCGGGTAGCGCTCAGACTCTCCCCGCCACGCACGCCGGCATGGCGCTCGGCTAGTTATGCTGCGCCGCGATACTTTTGAGTATTGCGGTGCAGCATCATTCAGGCGTCTCTCTCCACTGCCATCTAGCGGGAGGCGCGAGAACGTCCGGGGAACCGCCCGGACTCGATGCGCCAGCGCCCAGCTCGACCACAATTTGCCAGAAACAATGGTTGACAGATTTAAAGGAGAACTGGAGGGATAGTGTCAAGGCAAGTATATTCACCCAAGCCTATTTTTTGCTAAAAAAAAATCAATCAAAATGTTAAATTCATCTGTTAGGAATAGGCTGGTTTGCCGTTTAATTTGTATTGCAGCACATACCCAGGCCAGGACCACTCAAATACATCTGTCCCCGCGTGTTCCACCCGCGCCGGTTACCTGGTAGCGGAGCTCCGGCGGCTCGGCGGCGGGCTCGTCTTCGCCGGCGGTCTCCCGCTCGGCCCTCCGCCTCCAGCGCCGTCGGGCAGTGCGCGGCGTTTGGCACCGCTCCTCCTCCGTGTCCGAGCTGTCGCTAGGCGGCGCTGCGGTCGCCTCCCGCTGCGGCGCCACTGGGAACACGGGCACGAGTGGCTTATTGATTATGTTTGGTCAGTTCAGCTCAGCGCCGATTGCCGAAGGCACCTCATGCTGCGAGTCTGCGACAAATAGCAAAAAGCAGTTGTTTAAATGCGGCGTTCGTCTGATTTTGCAATGCCTGAGTTTCCCTCATTTTTTATGTTGCTAAGCTGCAGAGACAATTTTTTTGGAATTGTAAAGCCATAGAGGCGAACCAAATTTGCTAGCATCCGATTCATATTTGTGTGTGTTTGATCTCTAGCCGACCAAAGCTCCTGCCAGGGGCGCCGGTCCTTACCTGTGAGAATTGGCCGCGGCTCGGCGTCGCCGCTGACCGAAGGGTCGAAAATGATGAACTCTGGACGGATTTTGCTGGTGCGTTTGCCCTTGAGCAGCGGTATGAGGCCACCAAAGTGCTCCAGATAGAGCGTATACATGGCGCTGGAGGTGACAAAGTCGTCCTCGTTGCGAATCATGGTGCAGTGCAGACGGGTGCTGCCGTCTGGTGGCTGGGCGATGAACTGACGTAGACAGCCCGTGTCCGGGATGTGGGACTGCCGAAGACGGAAACGTTGTTATTGAACACAGTGGTATCTTTTCTGACGGGCTGGTGGTCCCGCCACTCAGTGCCATACCACCGACCCTGGGGCTGTTGATCACCTCCCCCCCCCCCCCCCCCACCACCACCACCTACCCTCACTGGGGTGACTGGCAGTGGCGACCTCGCCTTACCAATCGGTGTTAAAACTGAACCAGTTCCCCGTCTCAGCGCAAGTGCGGGGCTGGTGACCCCCGCCTCCCACCTAGGGTGCACCCTAGTGACGGTATACAGTTTCCCACTTCCCACCTACCCTCACGTTCTGAAGCTCGCTGCCCACCTCCCACCTACCCTCAGTGTGGGGCTGAACAGGCCGGCCAGCTGCAGTTTGACGCGGCGCGGCAGCGGCAGCAGCGCCGTGGCCTCCTCCGTCGCCAGCGCGTCCTTGATGCTCAGGCGACAGAGCAGCTGGAGCGGCGCCACGCGCCGGCCGATCCAGGCCACGTGCACCATGGCGCCGGTGGCGATGAACAGCCGCCGCCCGTTGTGGCCCCAGGTCAGCGCCGTCACCCCACACTGCGCGGCAGGGTTAGGTCAGGTCAGGTCAGGGGCCCTGTCGGGGACAGGCGTCGGGTCAAGGCGCGGCGTTAGGTGCATGCACGACAGATGCTCTAACAGTTTTAGCATCAGATCACAGATGAGGTGACGGTAATGTCCTGAGTGCATGCTATAAAAGAGTATTTGGACTTAACTTGGTAATAAAATCTCCAACTGCCCGCGTACTATACCCCGGTGCTTAGACCTCACTAGTAACAAAGGGCGTTACTCAGTGTCCTGTGACTGTCACCGGACACTAACCTGTGACAACCCGACAGAGTCGTGTCTTATATCACCGTGCAATTATCCTACGGTAAAAAGTGCACCATGTCACCGGGCACATACCGTGCGGCAGGGCAGTCGGCTGATGTAGCGCAGCTCGCCCTGGCTGGTGTAGAAGTGCACCAGGTTGGTGAACACGCCCGGCGTGCTGTCACCGTCCAGCCGCTGGCCCGCCACGGCCAGCAGCTCTCCGCTGTTACACCACTCCATCTTGATACCCAGCAGACCTGCAGGCCAAAGCGACAGACGGATATAGACTCGTTATGTAAGGGCCGACGCAAACCCGCCTAACAACGTGAAATGTTGGGCGCCGCCGCCGGATTTGGCTCTAAATGGAGCGTTGGTGCTATGCGGCTCGAGCTGGGGTCTTACCTTCTGCAGTGGTTAGCTCAGTAGCACTCTGGGCTGATGTATGGATTAGTTCTATTGGTCTTATAGCCAAAGCAGAAGATTCTGGGAATATCATTGCTCCGTTTTAATGGTATAACTTTAAGGCAAGATGCGATAAGACCCTCATCAAAAATTGAACACTCTATGGACCTCACTGAAGTGCATGCATGCAGAAACATTTATTTCTGACACAGTCGCAAATAGTTTGTTTTCTGTAGACCTGTGTGAGAATGCTGAAGAGCCGTTTTAACTCACCCGTTCGAACCACCACCGGAAGGACGTCGTCATAGCTGTTCATCAGGTGGATCAGACCGTTCTCGAAACTGACTGCTAGCACCAGCTGCCTCCCTGAGAACGAACGGCTTGGTTGGCATTGGTAGTCGCAGAGGTACTGACTTAAGTGCACGTTTGTAGGCAAATATAACATCGCTCATTTCATTTCACACATCCCCACAGTGCGAAATATTTGCAGCCAAATGTTTAACGTCAACTGTCCGTGGTACTATTCAAAACGTGAATGCACACTAAAGCCCCCGTGTCGATATGAATCGAATGTGGGGCCGGGGTTCTGTGGGCTTAAGTGAGTCATGAACTGATTCATCCATGACTCAGTTTTCTGATGCTAAGAATTATCTGCAAAGTAGAATAAAATGAGTGCATATATCTACCATGCAGATGCGTCGTGCCGCAACATACAATCCGTAGATGTGTCAGCCTTGCTTACAACCCTGGCTGGCGCAAATGAAGATTACAGGATAAGAGTAATGACACTCCCCAAAAGTAATCCGAGGCTGATTGACTTACACAATCTCGCTGTGTGTGATAGCGATACTCTTCAGGCAATCTGTGACTCTGACTCGAGCCCACGCGGCACGGAAAGTAATTTGATTAGGCCATGACGCTGTGGCTTTTTATAGAGGCCGGCGCACAGCCCTCTGCTGTCCAGTCGCTCGGACGCAGTGCGCCCCCCCCCCCTCCCGGTGCCGGGGTGGGGGAGGTTAATGAGCCGGACCATGGGGCCGTCGCTCCGGTCTGACTGCAGGCGGGGAGGAGAGGGAGAGAGGGGAGACTGCGGAGAGCCGGTGCTGAGCAAACAGCCATTACCAGCGACCGGTCAGCGGCGCATTAGCCGCTGGCACGGTGCAGCCCCCCCCCCCCCCCCCCACACACACACACACGATTTCGTCAGCTGGCGCCTGACTATGGCGGCCGCGGCGCGCGACGCTCCGTGTTTTTCTGGTGTTTTTCGCGTTTTGGCCGGGTGCTGAGCGCTGAACGAGTGCAGAGACCGAGTGAGAGACTGTTTTTACCGAGTGAAGTGACTTTTACCCATCGATCATTAGTATTTTAGCCATATCAATGTGTGTTTACATTGTCGCCCGGCACTGGATATGGGCCGCGAACCCTGGCCGGCCGCGCCGCATTCTACCGGTCTGGGAAGAGGAGGAGAGACTGTCCGCCAATCAGCGAGCCACACCACTCTCCACCGCGTTCTACCGGACCTGGTCTGCGGTCAAGGCCACCCGCCCCTCTGGCTGGGGCCGCAGCGCCCGATCAGGGGCGATGCCAGACCGTGGGCCTGGGGTGCGGCCGGGCCGGGGAGAGCGGCCGCCGTTCGCCGCCGTCCTGAGACCGCCGGTGGGCGGCGAGCTGGCCGCCGCCGCGGGGCCCGAGCTGGCCGCCGGGTGCAGGAGCGGCGGAGCAGGGGGAGCCGTTACCCCAGCCGGACTGACGGCTCCGCGGGCTCCCGTGCACGCTGTCCGTGCCCGGTCTCGCCCGCTCGCCTGGCGGCCCAGCGCTACCGCTGCCTCTCCTGCCCACCGCGACTCTCGGTGAAACAGACGGAGCGGGCCGGCAGACGGCCGGTGAACTCAACGGCGGTTGACAGCAGATCCAACACTGGCCAGCCCATCCGGTCACCACTGAAGATAGCACACCTCAACGTGCGCTCGCTAATGCCATCCATAGATGATGTGAACTGCACTCTGCAAACGATGTCTATCGATATTCTGGGTCTTGTTGAAACATGGCTAAACGAGAATATCGACAGCAGCTTTTTGATCTTTCCTGGCTATAAGGTGCTGCGGTGTGACCGCCCTGCGCCCTCCGGTCGTGCGAGAGGAGGGGGAGTCTGTGTGGTCTACCGGGACTCGCTGCGAGTCGAGACATTATCGACACCGACCGGTGACTCCCAGCTTGAGTCTCTGTGGGTCAGTGTGCGCGGCGTCACCACGGTGGTAGTCGGAGTCATTTACCGCCCACCGAGTGCCCCAGTGACCGCCGCTATTGAGGACCTCCAGACCCAGCTGGCGCACGCTATTTGCACCGGAAAGCCTGTTTTCGTGCTCGGAGACACCAATTTCGACACACTCAAACCCGACAAGGCCGATGTTCATCGCTACCTGCAGATGATCAGCGCCATGGACATGAAGCAGCTGGTCAGCTGTCCAACTCGACCGGCTAGCGGAAGTCTGATCGACCACGTCCTAGTGCGGCAATCTGATGACATCACGGCGACCAGAGTGGAGCCGTGCAGCTGGTCGGATCACGATCTGGTGATCGCTGAGACCACCCTCCAGCGGGAGCGCCGCCGTCCCGCGGAGGTCACCATCAGGTCCACGCGAGACCTGGTGCCGGACGCTCTCTGTTTGGAGCTGCTAGTATCCGACTGGTCGGCCGTGTACAGCGCCACTGATCCTGCCGACAAGTGGAAGGCATGGCTGGCGGTGTGGTCGCCGGTCATTGACCGACACATGCCTGAGAAGAAGATCAGACCGAGACACTCGCCGGCGCCATGGATCACCGAAAACGACGAGCTGCAGACCATGATGAGAGAGCGTGACTTGGCCGACGCTGAGAGACGTGCTCAGCCGGCTGACGAGCAAGCGGCCCAGCGGTACAGACTCTGTCGGAACCGAGTGAAGAGCGCCCAGATCAGCGCCAAGTCAGACTTCTTTCTGACATCTTACCGCCGGTCGCGCCGTACCACGTGGAAGGACATCAGACGCTTCCTCATCTCACCTAGAGCCGGAGCGTCTTCTGCGTCTTCATCTCCGAGTGGCCCTCGCTGGGCTGACAGACTAAACGAGTACTTCGCGTCGGTCGGCCCGAGCGTGGCCGCCGCGCTGGAGGAGGCGCAGCGCGTGACCGAGCCGCTGCCGCCGCGGCCGCCTCGCGTGGTCAGCGGCGCTTTCCGCGTCCACCCCGTGACACTGTCAGAGCTGTCAGCTGCCGTGAAACGTATGTCAGCGTCTAATGCGAGTGGTGGTGACGGTATCACGATAGGTATGCTGCGCATGACTTTCCCAGTGATAGGCCCGCATCTGTTAAAGGTCATTAACTCGTCGCTGGTGTCTGGAAAGTTACCCGCCGACTGGAAAGTGGCTCATGTCATACCGTTGCATAAGTCTGGCTCGATGGATGACCCGTCTAACTATCGTCCGCTGTCGCTCCTGTCAACTGTTGCTAAGGTCGCTGAGAGTGTTGTTTGCGGTCAGCTGATGACTTACCTGCTCACGCACAATATTCTCTCCGAGGTGCAGCACGGCTTCCGGCCCGGCCGATCCACGGAGTCGGCGATGCTGGATACTGTCAGTTTTCTCATGGATGGTCTGGATGACGGTCTCATCGGTTCTCTCACGACCGCCGACACTAGCAAGGCTTTTGACAGTGTCCAGCATCCCCGGCTCCTGGAAAAGCTGGGCTGGTACGGCATTAGCGCACACTGGTTCCGCGACTGGCTGAGTGACAGGTGCCAGATGGTGCGGGGTGGTGAGGAGGTGAAGCCAATCACCCACGGCGTGATACAGGGATCACTTTTGGGACCGATCTTATTTTTGCTATTTTCAAACGATCTTGCGTCCTATGTCGACTCCAAAATAGTGATGTACGCCGATGACGTTCAGTTTTTACATCTAGCATCACCGAAGCGAATTTTAGAGCTGAAGACAGATACCGAATGTACTTTAGACATTGCGAGTCATTGGTTTGTTCAAAACTGCCTAAAAATCAACCCCAAAAAGACCGAACTGTTAGTTGTAAAATCACGTAGGAGGCAGCTTGACTTTGATTTTAATGTACAGTTTGGAGATGATGTTATTCAAACTTCCGCTAGCATTAAGGTATTGGGTGTAATTGTCGACTCTGGCTTGACCTTTGAGCCACATGTGACGGAGGTGATTCGCCGATGCTACGCCACATTAGGAGGACTGTGTAAATCTTCGCGATGCTTACCGAAAGAAGTGAAGAAACTGATCGTTGAGATGCTGATCTTCCCCCACATCCGCTACTGTTTGTCGGTCTGGTCGGGCTGTGGCGTTGTTCAGCGTCGCCGCGTGCAGCGAGTTATTAATCACTGCGCACAGGTGGTTATGGGAGCGCGCCGCTCAGCACACGTGACTCCGCTGTTGGAGGAGCTCGGGTGGCCCCAGATAGACGAGCTTGTGGCGGAGAGTGACTGCGGTGTTGTTCACTACTTGGTTAACAATACCAGTGCGCCGAGGTGTCTCTCGGAGCGGCTCGAGCGCCGCAGTGACGTCTCTAGTAGGGAGACTCGTGCCACTGAGAGCGACCTGCTCCAGCTGCCGAAACCCCGCACCGAGCAGGCGCGGCGGTTCTTCCGGTACCGCGCCGTTGCACGCTGGAACTCACTGGCCCTGGTTGTGCGTGACAGTAAAACGTCTGCTGGGTGTCGCAGGCGCTTTAGGAGGGCGCTTTAGGCTCTTATAATGTGTGATACCACGTCATACGTGCTGTACTTTTTTTCCTTTAACATCTTTACCATTCAGCGTATATGTATTTATGTATTGACACTTGGACAGAATAGCCGTGAATACGGAGTTCCAAACGAAATAAATGATGATGATGATGACATCCCCCCTCCAGCACACACATAAACGCGCGCGCCGACATACACCTGAGAACGGGCATATGTGATGTTGCGTACCGGCATATTTGAGATGGCATGAACGTCACGTGAACTGCATCGTCTAAGTGAGATTGGTAATACAAATCAAAAGCACGCAGGAAGATACTCTTTTTCATTAAAAATGTCATCCCCTGATTGTTTTAACAATCAACCGCAAGCATTGGAAGATCTTGTTCAACATTCCTAATTAATTTCGTATCGTGACGTCAGTGTTCCTTGTCTTTGTCGTTTGACGTCAGAGGTTTGCCTACCTATTACTAGGTTTATAACTATTCACATAACAACATTTAGCCTTATTCCCGTACCTTGCCGCCCCATATGGATAGCTTTTAAGTAATGATGACATAAAATTTACGTCACTGAAGTAAAGAAATTTAATGCTTTTTGGTATGTCTTAGCTTCTTAGCATTCCTTTCGATCGCACGAGTCAGGAATGAATACTCAAGAAAACGCCTATTTCACCTAAACCACATAGGTACGTATGAAACATCACACTTGGAAGTTGGAAAAGCATGCTGGGATTCCCCTGGCTGCATGTCCGACTCCGCTTTTATCTAAACCGTTTATTACGTCGCCGCCGTCCCCGAAATGCTCGATATAGCCGCCTTTATCTCTTCGCCGGCCAGCGTAGCGCCCTTTATCTCTCAGCCACCCAATATGCCGGACACTCCCATTTACGAGTCCCCGGCGTGGTCCCGTTCCCCAGCCGACGCTGGAGCAGCTCCCCGTCCTCTGAGCCAGTTCTGGAGACGCTCGCCGACCCCAGATATCGTATAGGACACCCTCCATCTCCACCATTTCCCTGACGCTGCCTCAGCTACCCCGGCTCCATCTGCTCCATAACTTTCCCCTATTTTCCTACAATTCCTCTGACGTTCACGATCCCATCTCTCATCCAACGCCGTCTTATCATTTCTCTAATGTCACTCTTGTCCCAATCTTAGCTCGTCGCGTGACCCAATCATTTCCCTGGTGCCGCCCCTGCCCCAATCGCTTCCTGGCGCCGCCGCTGGCCGCCGGCGTAGTACGGCCAATAAGCCAAGAACTAGCCGCCGCGGGCCGCAGGTAATCCTCGTTCGCACTTCTCGCGCGCTGGCGCTCGGCGTCTTGCCGCCGGGAGTCGGGGCGGCGGCGGCGGCGGCGATCGATCGCCGCCGGCGGTCGGCGCTGGACGCCCGCCGCTGGCTACTGCCCGCCGTCGACAGTGATGCATCGCCCTGGCTCCGTGGCGGGCCGCGCACGCACAGCCCCGCTCCCGGCGCCCCTCCTTCGAGACGGGAGGCCAGGATTGTAGCAGGAAAGAGACCGACTCGCCGCCGTGGATGCCACACGGTTCCACACGCATACAGGCAGGCATCCGTATACGCAACTAATGCCCACGCGGTAGGCAATTTAATGGAATTCAAACGCGGCCTCCTTCGCGTGAAGCTCTCATAACATATTCCGGATACTCTTCGCATTGAGAGGCAATCGTCCGTAAGTCGTTGAACGATTATATTCTCGGTGGCGTGCCGCTGTGTAGAATGCCACGGTGAATTTTTATCACACTTAAAAACAAAAATAAACAATTTATCCGGAGATAAATTACATTAAAAGAGTTGCTGATGAATAATGCGAATCGTATTGAATAGCAATGTATAATCTATCGCAGTGTTTGCATGAAAATCTATCCTCTGGATAGATCCTTACGTTTTCCCGAGCCGGCTGTGGTGTCGTCTCGCTCCTCCATTTTGAATTTCTCGCAGTTCCAGCTCATCTCGAGGACGGGCACGCCTTCCAAGAGCGTGACGTTGGAGACCATGGCGCCGTGCACGTCCATTACCACCAGCTGGCCGGTCAGCGAGCCGAAAAACACCTGCAGGCGGCGCAAACAGACTCTCAGTTCGGCCGAGTGGTGACTAAAGACACTGCGAGAGAAATAGGAGACTTACCACGACAAACGACCATTCTGCGCTGATTTTAGGACTCATGAGAAAAGAGAATTCAATCAGTAGGTATTAAGTGCTAGCAGGGGAATGGTCGTTGCATCAAACGTGTAACATTTTAGACCAACAATTGTTTGGGTTTGGTCTGTAATGCGTCACCGTGTCGTCTCACGTGCTGGACTGGTGTTCCCGTACTCTCACCTGCTGGTCGTTTGGTGTCCCGTTCTTTAACCTGCTGGTCGTCTGGTGTCCAGTACTCTCACCTGCTGGTCGTCTGGTGTCCAGTACTCTCACCTGCTGGTCGTCTGGTGTCCAGGTGCCACTCTCACGTGCTGGACTGGTGTTCCCGTACTCTCACCTGCTGGTCGTCTGGTGTCCAGTACTCTCACCTGCTGGTCGTCTGCTGTGTCCCGTACTCTCACCTGCTGGTCGTCTGTTGTCCAGTACTCTCACCTGCTGGTCGTCTGGTGTCCAGGTGCCACAGACGATGTTGCTGCTCAGTCTCAGGTTGGACGACCAGTACCGCTGGCCAGCGACGGAGCCCACCAGGACAAACCCGTCCTGCGGAGAGCCGACATAGTATTAGTGATAGAGGGGAACGGACACGGAACGTACACAGAATGGATACCGAACAGACACGGAATGGGCACGGAATGGGCATGAAACGGACGCGAGACGAGCACGGATGGGACACCGACCGAGCACGGAACGGACACGGACTTGGAACGAACCGTCTTGTTCCTATCATGGCACAGCAGTCCCTGGAAACACAGCCCACGGCTGGCTTTGGCTGTGATATGCATACACATGTCTGTGTTCTGTCTGTTGTGTAGCACACCCGTCACACTCAACATCGTCAAAAGAGACAGTCTCCAGACCGTCTCATACAATATGCATTGGTACGGCGGTTCTTCAGCCCGAGGTGGACTCCGCAGCAGGGATCACAGGCTTCACGTTTCTTCCAGAGTCTCTCCTTCCATCAATGAAGACCGTACCTGACGTCTTCGGTCGTCCTTTCATTAGGTCGTGCCTGGCACCCGTGTAATCTCTATTCCCGAGAAACTACCCGCCGCCGCCATGCAGGGACATGCGTTTTGGCTTCGGCCGAAAGCTGGCACCCTGGTCTTCCTAGATGTGTGGGCAGCTTTCATCTCAGATTCCCGGATCTCTGCCTGAGACTTGTGGCGCATCGCCGGGAAGCCGAAACGCAGCAGACTGTTGTCGAATATAGCACATATGCAGACATAGGTATCCGTGCTTCCCCAGAACTGGTGTGACCTGCTGCCTCGAACCGACACGCCTACGGCAAGAGTTTCAACAGAGTGGCTCACCACCAATCGGATCGACTCGAAACAGGCTGTTATGAACAGGCTGAAACTCGCGAGGGTGCTACCACCATCAACGACTCGAACCGCAATCCCTCTGAATAGCTTTAGTAGCGTGTCTGAAACCGTGCATGCCTGGACCTGGTGCTAAATTTAATGACATCGGTGGTGGTCTTTATTTATGGGTGTCGATACTCGGCTTAGGCGAATGAAAGCTAGACTCATTTTCGTGTCATGGGCTCAGTTTTGCCCAAGTAGCGCAATGTGCGTGCCAGGTGGACGCCGACTATGGCGATTATCAATCATCGCCATAGTCCATATGCCTAGTCTACCTGAAGACGGTCCTAAGTCTCGGCCCGTCTAGTTCGGAGAGGAGCCATCTCGGTCCTGGTTCCCACCGCAGCGTGGGACCCAAACAGAGTCGTGTGGCTCGGAGTGACAGCGCAGAGCGGACACTTCATTACCCGAGCCGTGTGCCGGGTCTCTGGTGTATGGATTGTCGATAATCTATGGCAGAGCGTCCCGGGCACAGCCAGGTAACGGCAGGCGGGGTGGCAACTCACTCACGGGAGAGAGAGAGAGAGAGAGAGAGAGAGAGAGAGAGAGAGAGAGAGAGAGAGAGAGAGAGAGAGAGAGAGAGAGAGAGAGAGAGAGAGAGGGAGACACGGCGGAATTACAATGACGCAAACCTGTCGCCACTCAACACTGCCCGATTTTGAGGATCTTTACATAAGATCACGGCTTTGAGTGTTTATAAAGCCATGGTGTGTGATCGGAACACTTCGGTTTCTTCTCCCATGGAACCCAACAGATAAAATTAAATAAATTACGTTATACCCCGTACAGCCTAGTTCATTCGCCTGAAGTGGTCACAGGAGATATGAATATTATTGAAAAATTATTTAAGCTAAATTTAACGCTCATCCTAACTGCTACTTCAAAGACATTAACAGAGAGCGTTAGCATTTAACGTCGCTCACGGGGTTCACGGGTTATTTCAGATGCAGTTTCCGTGGGGCCATCCGTAAGGTTTTATATAATACTGAACGAGGCCGGTGTAAATAAATTTTCAAGACCGAGGTCCTTACTGGATTTTTGAACGAGGCCGAAGGCCGAGTTCAAAAATCAGTAAGGACTGAGGTCTTGAAAATTTATCACCGGCCGAGTTTGGTATGTATTTTACTGTATGCCAACGATGCCAACGATAAATTTATTTTCTGGACCGAAGCTCTTAGCCGACTTAGGAACGAGAACATCCCAAAATGTTGGCTTAAGTGCATTCTGGTAATGCATTTTTGACCGTGGTCAATTTGCTTACACCAGTTATTACCACACCCCTCTGGCTAATGTATTTGAATAGACCAGGCATACAGTAAATGATTTGAAATTGTCACAACCGAAGCGCATGAAGGCAATAAAATGCATGACCGACGCTATGCCGTCACAATTTTTCCCAAAATTGGATGTTCTACCGCCATGGATGAGAAATGCATCTCTCATGCTTGACGGCGCCATGCTCACAGTATGTTCGCCGGACATAAATAAAACCCGTCTCTATGGGATGGAAATGGTGAGACATCACGGTTGAAACATCGTTGATGTCCCACAAACCGATATAAGAGTCCAGACGTACCCAAACGCAGCCGACCATTTCCATGGCTGGGCAAAAAGAGAAATGATATGGCATTAATATTTGGATCATCTACTTTGTGTTGCCGTTTTGATACGCACTTCCATACCTTCAATCGATGAAAAAGGATAAATTTACGATTATACGTCGGTTATACGTCGTCTCACTACATCGCGTCTCGCGATCGCTGCACGGTAGGCGATTGATATGTGGCACTGGCCATTAGCATGGCGTGTGTCGACGGCTGTTAAAGGGACCCTCCCACCTTCAAAAAAGTTAATGAATTGGCATGAAAGTGATGTCGCTCGGTTCAGAAAGAGCAAAAACGAATATCTACCAAATTTCATCGAAAAATATTCACCGGTTTTCAAGATATTAGACTTTTACTTTTGTTTACTTTTTGGGATCTCCGCTGTTCCTAGCGACTTTATTTGAAAGTGCGGCATTTGTTGCGCGCAAAGCAGCATATACCACCGCGTGCTACAAAACGTTTTAGTCAAACATTTAACGGACGTTCGAAAGCCTGATGACGTCATCAGATTCCCGTAATGGTTAAGAGATAGGGACCACGCTGGTCCCACCCTGCAAGTAAAGGGAAGAAATTTCTTGAACACCATAAAGCTGCGGGGGTTGCGACCAGGATAAATGGTGGTTTCTGAGCCTGGCCGCAAACTTGGCTATCTCAACTCAAAACTAATGTTAAGGTGGGAGGGTCCCTTTAAGGTCCGTGTTTTAATGTAGCGTACCAGTGCAGGTCGTTCACCTGGTATATATAGCCGATGTCGCCAGTGAAAATGCTTCACCTGGTAACTAGCTGATCTCGCCGTTGAACATATGCTTACCTGGTAGCAGATGAGAGCCATCCGTCCGTCGTGCGACCAGGAGAAGTGTGTGACCGGTGTGCTGCGGTCGTTGATGAGCTCGATGCTCCAGCGGCCCTCGTACTTGATCCAGACGAAGATGATGCCTGAGCTGTCGCAGGTGGCCAGCTTCTGGTAGGGCTCGTTCCAGCGGACCAGCACGATCTGCGGGAGTGGCCGGCGGCCGGTCAGTAGCGGTCGGGGGGCAGACAGCGCGCCGTAATCCGACCCAGACAGGCCCGACGGCCAGCCGACCGGCTCCATTATCGCCGCGACAATCGCCGGAATGGCGGATCTGCTGCCGCTGAGGTCACCGACGCGCCGCGGGCCGGCTATTATTTGCGGTGCGCTCAATGTCACTGTCGGGGTACGGCGACTCCCGCGCAGATTCCCAGCGGGCATGTGTGGATGGTGATTGTTGTGTTCATGTGATTGTTCGTGCCTTCATATGATCTTAATGCACATATCTCGATGATATCAGCCTATATGGACTGCCGACTGACAGATCATGTGACATGTCAACGAGCTCTTTCGTTGACAAAATAGCTACACTATTCCATATGATCTGACTTTCTTATTAAATACCGTAAATAAGATATATATTTTTTTACTAACATTTAAGCGATATAAGGTATGCAAGAACATTCGGTGAGAGTGTTTCCTCCTTGGTGTTATCTCCGTCCAACTGGTATTACGTAAACTCTCCACGCAAATTTATGGGGCCCATGAGTTGTACTGTTTATCGCCTCCAGCCAGAACATGCAGACACTTGGTAGTTTGTGAGGTAGTTGATCTACAAAGGGTCAGAGTAAAGTGCCGCATCATAACCATCGTCCGTAAACAGCATGCGTAGGTGCATTACAAATTACAATAATGCACCCAGTGGACAAAAAACACGACAATTGTCTGTCGCAAAAGTAAACGTGCATCTTTTGTCTGCCCCATTGAAATACATAAATATGACGGCACTTTTGACCACGGAATAACTATTCATTAACAATGTTAATGAATAAAATCAGACGAATCACCCCATACAAACGGCTGTTGATACCGCCCCCTGTACCGTTTTAACGTGACTGTGAAGGTCGCCCCTTTACTCTAACCTGACTACGGTGACCGCCCTTCATGCTCTGACCTGAATGCAGTGGCCGCCCTTCCCTCGCGGGTCTGAAAACTGCCGGCAGTAGTCGCCCTCCCGCCCTACTGCGTTGCCCCCCCCCCCCCCTCCTCCCCCAGCTCTGACCTGACAGCGGTGCCCCCCAGCTCTCACCTGACTGCGGTGCCCCCCCCCCCCCTCCGCCAGCTATGACCTGACAGCGGTGCCCCCCCCCCCCCAGCTCTCACCTGACTGTGGTGCTCCCCCCCCCCAGCTCTCACCTGACAGCGGTGCCCCCCAGCTCTCACCTGACTGCGGTGCCCCCCCCCCTCCGCCAGCTATGACCTGACAGTGGTGCTCGCTCCCTCCCCCCCCCAGCTCTCACCTGACTGCGGTGGCCGCGCAGGTTGTAGTTGGTCCGCACGGGCAGGTCGGTGTGTTTGCGGCTGTGCGAGGAGGTGAAGGTGACGCCAGCGATGGCGCGCGCGTTGCCCGTGGCCAGCCAGCCCTCCTGGTAGTAGCTGGACCGGTTCAGACGCCAGCTGCCCTCCTGCTGAAAAATGCAGAACAAACAGGGTGTGAGGGAACGCGAACAACCGGGAATAGAACGAATGTATCCCGCTCTCCGCTGCAAAAACTTTTGGAAATATTGTATGTTCGGATATACCCCGAACTCTTTGTTGCATCTGCAGTAGGTTTCACACGCTAGAAACGTTGTAACTTTATGAAGAGCGAGCGTGAAGTGCGAAGCAACTCTTTAATTTAACAGAAAAAATATTAGTAACCATGAACAGCCCGGCTTCACGCTTCCGAAAGACATGTCCGCAACCGTGCAAGTCCGTTTGTCAAGCGGTCGACTCCGTTGGGTAATCCCATCTATTCTTCATCGATATTGACTTCTTTTTATGCATCTAGCACAGCACATGTCACGGCTCATGTCAACTCACTTAAGTGTCAGCATTGCCACTTGCCAGTCCAAGTCAGTGCAAGTCAGTGTATTGTCGAAATTGTTCCGCTTGCAATAAATCCGCAACTGTCGGGACGATTGCACTGAAACTTTTCCTATCGGTGGGCAGCCGTAGATTGATGCAACCCATGTTCATATGTATTTGTGCGCTGTGTATCGTGCGGTAGCATCAGTAGGAAGCGGTCAAAGTTTCGTCAATTTAGGGGAGGGGCAAATGCCCTAAATGCACCGCCCGTGGATCCACCATGGGGAGATCCTTCCCCATTGTTATTCGCTGCAGTTTTTTTTTTTGTCGTGTATGTTCGTAAAGCCATTCTAGACTGTGAGAATTTCAGGACAGTGAGATGACGGTATAAGGGGAGGCCCTGAGGCGTAATAAGCTGGGACTTGGGTGGCAGACTCAGCCCGGCCACGGCCGCAAAAGCCGACATTTGCAAAGTGGTGAGGAGAGTAATCAAGATAGCGGCAAGGAAACGGCACCAATCAATCCGCAAATTGACTCGAATTCTTACCAAATACCATGTCAGATAATAAGAGGTTCCACATCATGATTCATCGCTACCCGCCCTTTAACTTGTAACATTACTTGTTTCTAGTGCCCTTCAAACTAAAAAAAAAAAAAGACAACGAAACTGACGAGAAAACAACCAGTTCACCACCTTTGGCCTCACGCCAGAGCGCGTCCACTGGAGTCGAAGGAAGATATATGGGTAAGGTGGTCTGGTAGGATGGGTAGCCGTTCGAGCTGTATTATTCTTTGAACCGTCAAATTGGCCATTTATGGGCGGCCAGCAGCTAGAACTTACTGGCCGTCGCCGCCGTCAAACATCCGCGTAAGATCCAGATCTGGAGCATGTTCAGCTGCTTAGCGGTGCTCCAATACGAGTAGGGCAAAGTGTCACAGAATACCACCATCAACGTCAAGTACTACCTACCGGAGCAACATCCTGGCCAAAATGGTTGGAGGCGCTCAACCAGACGGTACAGGAGGGCTCGGTTTCTGAACGCGCACTGATGCCTGATTCAAGCCACGCTGTCTTCATGCGGGGCGGCGCGCTAGCCAAGAGTCCCTAAAAGAACGGGAAGTGATGCCGATAGAACTTCCAATCATTCTGGGCTAACAGCTTATGACTTGGAAAAAGTCGCGACCCCAATTCTATCGAAAACCTGTGGGCTCTTGTTCAGCAGGTGTCTGAAGAGCCACCCGCCACAAGCACCGCCCAACTACAGGCACAGGTTTAGACGGCGTTGGTCCGCATCAAAGCCAGTGTGCTGGAGAATCCATTGGCTGGAATGCTCCAGAACGTTTGTCACTGTGTTCTTATGAAAGGTGACTGCATGGTCATTTAAAAAGAAAAGTACCAGATTTTCTGCTTTTAAATTACAGCGGGAAGAAAGGTGTCCGGATACCTAATTTCCTTACACCCTGCAGGTACCTAGGTACATACCTAATATGATCCCGCCTCAAAAACAGTATTTGTTTTTGCCGCTCCCAAGAGGCGAAATGTACCTATGAAGTGTCGTGTAGCATGTAGTTGCCGCTTCACAAATTGTTAGAGCTCATGGCCTTGTGAGTTGCATTACGAGGCCGTTCTACCGGCCCTCAGCCGCGCCCGCCCGGTCCTCTGCCCGCCTGGGTGCAGTGCGGGTCAGTCTACCATCGCAGGTGTTCTACTGGTCAGTGCGCTATAAGCTGTAAGTTGAAGCGGTGACGTCAACGACCGACGACAGCGCCGCATTGGAACAGTAATAACAAATCGATTCGCTGATGAGCTTGTGGCTTTTTTAGATCATCAGTAATACAAGCCACCGTTTGATATGCTCTTCGATATGATAAATCAGAATCATTAATGCTGGTAAATCGGGTTAGATATCGCGAACATGGAATGGTATGAAATACTGGCGCATAGCACAACAACTCAAGCAATTGTTGATATAATTAGCATTCAGCAGCTGCACATCTCGTAATGTAGAGATTCAACGCGTTGAATGATTGGCACATGTCCTAGTAGGGATGCGTTAGGTAGGCAATTCCAAGCGTTTTAAAGGGATATCCGTTTTGACGAGACGTCCGATTTTAGCAACCAGATACTACAGTAGGTACGTGTATTTACACATGAATATAGGTATAACTAGGCATACGTGCACCATGCATCCAGCGCATCGTGACAACTGGCAATACTTCCGAAACGGTAGCAATTTATAAGCGATATAGGTAAGTGGCCGGGACAGTGACTGAACAGGCTGCCGAACGTATCGGCCAAAATCGCCACTAGCGGCAAGCCTAAAACAAAACAACCGAACCGAACCAACCGGACGCATGCTGACTAAAACTGAGATAACTTGCTCAACTACGTGGTCGAAAGCCGACTTTCAGCTGATATTATTATAAATTATTATGTCGTCAGCAATAAAAAAAAACAGCTGAGGGTGCGACGGGTGAGTCATGGATCCCATAACTGAGAGACTTTACGAGCTTTGCCAGGCGTTTTCGCAACAACCAGTAGTCATTGAAACGGCTTTACACTCGACAAAAATTCGTACAGATGTACCGGATGTCAACGAATGTGGGCGAGTGAATAGTTGAAAAAGAATGTATTTTAATGCCTTAAGCCTAGGGTAATGGCGAACAGGTAAATAGATACGTTTTGAGAAGGCATCCGATTAAGCACACCAATGTGCTATTGCAGTATCGCGCACACTGTTGCGAACTAAGACATAAACATTCAATGACCATTGTAAGACATTCAATAATCAGGACGGCCTCATACACGGCGTACCAAGACCTACCTCGATGAGTTCATTGGGCACACGGCCCATCCAGGAGAGCGACAGGATCGGACAGTCCGACTCGGCGCGACAGTCCTTCTCCAGGTGGAAGTGCATGGTCCACACCGCTGGGTCACTGGCACCGACGCCGCGTGATGTCGGCGGCCGATCTGACTGCACGGCTGTGCCGGCGGCGGGCGAGGCGCGGCCGCGGACACACCTTGGCCTGCAGCGGCAGACGGCCGGCGTGTGCCCCACCTCGGCGCCGGCCGTCGCCCTCCTCCGCCGACCACCCCACAATGGTATGGGCGAGAAAATCGAAGCCGCTGCGCCGTCCGGTCGACTAACCTGCGCTGTGTCGGCGGCGACGGCCGTCGGTGCGCCGCGCGCGCCAGAGACACCTACCGACCGGGCGGCGACACTCTGGTGTGGTGCATCCTGCATGGTGGGACATATGTACTGAGTGAGAAGTGTGATAAAACTAACAATGTTATTCTTTAATCTTTATTAGGCCGCTTTCATTTGCCAATACCTACAGCCACAGGTATAGACGACTTCTCAGGAATTATGTCTGAACTAATAAATAAATTGCAGGCGGGCATCATTGCTAGGTAGATGGTAATGTTAATGACCTGATGACGCGTCGCACATTCGAACAACTCAGGACAGTCCCGGATTACAAGGTGCTGTGATATGTGGGACCGTGTAAGCGTTGTCTAATAAGCGCTGGTACATGCCTAAACGTAACGGCCATGGATGAAATAATAAGGCCATGGATATGTTATCTCATCCATGGTAACGGCTACGGCAGGGGTCGGCAACCTATACGGCCCGCGACCATCCTGATGTCCGGCCCGCGGCTGGTATCAGCAACTTACATTTGTTCCGGCCCGCGGTTCTCCTAGGAATCGAGCTTTTCCATACAAAAGTGACTTACGTTTGTCAAATTAATTCTTCCTTCTCACGTTTCAACTGCCTTGAAAAGAATGCTATTGATATGGACACAATGATGGACACAATGATTGATAATTGGACACAAGCATTCCTTCTATTTTCACACTATTTTTCCCTCTGCCAGAGTCTGCCTTAAAAAGGTACGGTTCATCATATGACACCAGGGCAAAGCATGTGAGCTGTCACATGTCATAACTCAAACTCCATTAATAACGCTGTCGTATTTGCCAGTTTTTGCCTGTGATTGTGGCAAATTATAATTATCGGCCCGCAGGCTGCTTCCAAATCTCATGTCCAGCCCGCACCCCAAAAAAAGGTTGCCGACCCCTGGGCTACGGGTCCCGCCTACTGTGAGGGGGGCTTAGGCCGGTCCTGCAGGCCCTTCGTTACCTCCCCTCCAGATCTCTACTCTACTCTACAGGATCAGTGGTCGGCCGGGACGTCTCCCAGCCTTTTACCCGTCTGCCACCCGGGCCACTGTCCTCTAAACTAAATGTACTAAACTATGCATCGTGGTTCAGGTGAATAACTCCGCCATTTTGGGGCACACGCGGTTTGTAGCGAACCCTCATGGGTTTGGAGCTAAGCTCCTGAGCCACAATGACTAACTAGGCACCGAATGAATCTGACTCCGCTCAACCTCCGTTCTCCTCCGACTCAACCCATCTCCAAATGCATCTGGTCAATTCAAACCCCATTTATTGTAAAACCGAACATCATAAAGGACTGCGCATTGAATTGGATCTGAGACGACAGATTATTTCCGTTTCCGCAAGTTTCTACCCTATCACTACCCTAACGGTTACCGACGCGCGAAACTACCTACGAACCTCCACCCCGGTGCTCCTATCCTAACTATGGGATGTGCTTTGAGCCCAGCATCAATCCCTGCGTGACAGGAACCTACCTCGAGCCAGGTGAGCCAGCAGCAGAGAGCAGTCGGGGGCTCGATGTCCGTACCGGACGGCAGTCAGACACCAAGAGCCCCGATCTCCTCTCCCCTGCTTTCGTCTCGTCCCTCGCCCGAGTAGGCCACGCCCACATCAGCCGCCTCGAGGCCATAGATGGCGGCCGATGTGCCCGTGCGGTTCCCGCCGCGCTGGCCTCCTTTCAGACCCCGGCCTAAATATCCCACGCGTACAATTTTAACAAAACCAAGGTAAACTAAAAACGGACACTGACTCAAACTAATCTCCAAGCTGGTACGGCCGCTCTCCCGCTCCCCTACATAATACCCCCCTCTCCGGCAGGGGGGGAAAATTCCCCTACTTTCCGGGAGAGGGGCGTTTGTGTCCATTCTACCGCGGCTGTGTGCGCCCTCGAGGCGGCGCGCCTCCGGGGTGTCGCGCGTGCCTCCTCAGCATGGCGCGGTATTTCTCGGCGGCTACTTCTACTTCTACTTCTACTTCTCTTTTCTTCTCTTCTCTTCTCTTCTCTTCTCTTCTCTTCTCTTCTCTTCTCCTTTCTTTGACGGCGATAGGCGCGCCCTCGCGCGGTGCGTGCTTCGCGGCTACATGTGCGCCTCCGCGGCGTCGCACATGCCTCCGCGGCGTCGCACATGCCTCCGCGGCGTCGCACATGCCTCCGCGGCTTTCCGTGCGCCTCCGCGGCTTCGCACTTGCCTCCGCGGCTTTGCGTGCGCCTCCGCGGCTTGCGTGCGCCTCCGCGGCGTCACACGTGCCTCCGCGGCTTGCGTGCGCCTCCGCGGCGTCGCACGTGCCTCCGCGGCTTGCGTCATGCGTGCGCCTCCGCGGCGTGGCACGTGCCTCCGCGGCGTCGCACATGCCTCCGCGGCTTTCCGTGCGCCTCCGCGGCTTCGCACTTGCCTCCGCGGCTTTGCGTGCGCCTCCGCGGCTTGCGTGCGCCTCCGCGGCTTGCGTGCGCCTCCGCGGCGTTACACGTGCCTCCGCGGCTTGCGTGCGCCTCCGCGGCGTCGCACGTGCCTCCGCGGCTTGCGTCATGCGTGCGCCTCCGCGGCGTGGCACGTGCCTCCGCGGCTTGCGTGCGCCTCCGCGGCAACTACCTCTACTTCTTCTCTTCTCATTTCTCGTCTCCGCGGCGGCTACCTCTACTTCTTCTCTTCTCATTTCTCGTCTCCGCGGCGGCTACCTCTACCTCTTTTCGGCCCTGCCCGGCGGAACCTCGGCCCGGCAGTTTGGTTGGGCCCCGTTTGATGTCCGACGCAGCGTCGCACGGCGCTCCCCCCGGCGTGGCTGTGGCAGCGGTGGCGGTGGTGTGGTGGCAGTCGGCGGCTCGGCTACTGGGGCCTTTGCTTGGGATTTGTTCCCGTGCGGCATCCGTCCCGGCAATGTGCTTCTGGCGCTTTCCCTGGGCTTTCAACGAACCTGGGGTAAGGCGCTGGTGGCCACGGCGGAGGTTCGGACCCCCGTGGGCAGCGTGCGTCGGCGGCTCCGAGTCTGACGTCACGGTGCGTGACACAGGCACGTAGGGCCCACAGACCCGACCGGGTGTCGCGGCACACGCCGGCCCTCCGGCGCCGCGCCTCACTTCTTGTTCTTGCCGTAGAACTTGCTGTTGCCGGAGGAAGATGATCAGGTTGACGTTGATCCTCACCCTGCCGAACATGTCCATGACGGAGACGCCGCCGTACTGCAGCTGCAGCAGCTCCTGTAGGCTGATCTCCTCCCACTCCAGCTGCACGCCGAGCAGTTTGGCGTTCACCGGGAACGTGCCCTCGGCTGCCAGCGGCGAGATCTCGAACTGCACCCCCTTCCGCTCTGCCAGTTGCACGCCCTCGATGCCTAGCACGCCCTTCTCCTCGAGCCGGGCGGCCGAGTAGCGGCGCGGCGCGGCCGCCCGCTTGGTGCACACTGCACTGGCCGGCCGCCATTGCCTGCTAACACGTGTTCAGGTACTGGCTGAAGTAGGCCGCCCGCTCCTGGTAGAAGGCGCGCTTCTTCTCCACCGAGTCGACTGTGCGGCGCAGCTTGACCAGCTCGTGGCGGCGCTGCTGCCGGTGTCGGTGGCACGTTGGTCGAAGTGACAGCGCCCGCGCCGGGACTCTCCGGTATCAGAGCGCCTGCGGCGACCGTCGTGGGGCGAAGGGATGGCGTTGCCTACCGGTCTTGGCGCTTACCGGATCAGATGGTGTGCCGATTGTTCCCGCCAACCGCTGAAGATGCCACCACCGATGTTGTTGGCGCCGTTCCGCTGTCGCAGCACCGCTGAGGTCCTCGGCGGGCCGGTGTGCAGAGTCAGACTGCTGGGCGTGACCTCAGTCGGGCGGCCTCCAGCGCCTCGCGCCGTCGTACGCATTGGCATATTGGCCGTCACACGGGCCACCAGATGGCAGAGTAGCTCGATGGGTCGCGCTACGCATTGGCATATTGACCGTCACACGGGCCACCAGATGGCATAGTAGCTCGGTGGGTCGCGCTCCAGGATGGCGCTGCCGTCGGTGATTGGGTGGGCAGACAGGCGCGGCGGAGACGGCTCGGAGTCGTAGCCCGTCTTGCTGTGGCGTGCTGGCACGACGTGACAGGAGCACGGCGGCAATTGATGACCACTGTGCTCGTCACTTCCCGGCACCGCCGATGGTTTGCGGGCTCGGACGGAGGTCGTCAACGCCAGTGATGGTCGACGTACGATGGTGGCGCCGGTCCGTTATCCCTGTTGGCAGCTGCCGCTGGACGGGGCATCGCCGGCCTGCCAGCATACTTTCACATACATATAAACATTCTTTCCATACCAGGCATTCCCACACAAACACACACACACACACTTACAAATACATTTCATCTCCCACACCAACACATTACACATCACATTAAAATATCAAAACTAGGAACGGCTCTCGCATCGGTGGCTGACTGCCGTGTTAATGCTCAGATATACATCCGACTTCAGGCGTACACATACATACACTTCATACATACACTTTAACACACAATAACATCGACATCGTTTCCTGTTAGAATCATTTGGGTCAAATATCACAAACGTTTTCGCGTTTGACGCGCCCGTATGTCCCTTTTGATAACTAGCTATAATGTAATCGCTTGGAGGCCAATTTAGGATAGAGAAGGTAAATCCCAGATCGATACCAGCCGTGATGCAAACAAAAGGGGCAGCCTCTGTGATGATGATTTGGAGTGACAGGGCGCACCAGCTGCGAGGCTATATCGCGCCCATTTCTTATTTGACTTCCTCAGTGTCGGGCGTTAAAAATCACCTGAAGGCCGGAGGCCGCAATAAACGAAAAGAGGCGAGAAGAGTCAAGCAAAGAGGACTCGTCACCTAAGACTGCTCTCAAAGAAAGCTGGGCCCCGCGCAGGCCCAGAAATTTCAGCCGCTCAGCTTCCAGTC